CATTAGAACACTCAACAGGTAATCAAAAATATACACACCGACGGCTTGAATTTTATCTTTCGCAGTTCGTCGAGTGAGTTCGACAACCTCTTCCGCAGTAACATCGATTCCCCACGAAGCGTCTGTTAATCAATAAACACGAATGATGAACTGTGAAAATTCTCCAAGGAACTTCGAAGATCTAACCATCAATTTCTTGTTTGATTCGAGGCTCATCAGAAGAAATTGATTCTTCAGGCTCTTTTCGAATTCCAGGAGACATACGATCTTCGTCCATCGGTTCTTCAGTTGGGGATATGGTTCTCCTCATTTGCAACATAGATGGAGATTTCTTGGCGACAGAATCTAGTACTTCTTCCGGGTACACACTCTGGCATCCGAACATGAAATGCGCGACAGTGAATCCCCACTGCTTTCGACTCGAACTATACACGAACAATTCAAGATTACTCGAAAAATAGCAGGTAAAGCTGCCATATTTATAAAAACAATTCGATTGACATGATGAAAAATTAGAATCCGTGCTTATATAACCCCAGGAAGTACAAAATTGTTCTACGTTGAATTAACCTTCCAAGAAATATTATTACAACGTCACTTCAAAATTAAATATTCAGAGAAACCATCTTGCGATATGCTTTTCAGTTTCAGTCTGATTCTCCTTTGAATTGGCAATTAAACCATACTTCGGATACAAATAATTTTACTAGGAGCCCGATATTCAATGAATTCCTGTAATGTGATAAATATTCAAATGGGTACCCATTTTTCGACCGTTCCATACGGAAGCAAGGAAACTTATGATGCCACTAATTCTCGTTTCATGGCCTAATTTCGTTTTTCCATTTTTGGGGGGTAAAAATTGGGAAGATGCACATTTTACACACGCGAACATTATTCCAAAAAACCCTTACCGTTCTTGAGAGTCGAATGCTAGCGCTTCTTTAATAACTTCCATGACAAATTTCGTCCTATCGACGGATATCGTCACACACTTCGGCATCAAATCTGGGATCTCAGGTATTGTTCCAGCCAAGTGCAGACCACACACTTCCCCGAACGAA